TACTACTGATTTCTCAAAAAGTGTTACTCTAATGTGAAGTATGTTGTTTCATTCAATTTCAATAAATGAGTAATTATAATAAAATCATTGAGTCAAACTACAATTTGATACCTTCTCGGTTGAAATGTTTGTACTTTTTGGGGTCGCTTACTTTGAGATGTTGGGGGCGTGAATCGTGATATAGTAGAAGATTGATTTTAATTATGATCTGATGATGTTTGATCGTTGATGCAAATTTTGTTATTTCGTTGGTTCTATAATGTTTTTTTTGTTGCTTGATTCATTCAATATGTTATGCTTAATCGATTTAGTTTCTTAATTCAATGGTCTTTTGCTTCTGACCTGATTCTTGACATCTTCTTGCTTACTTATCGATCCTCTCTATCTCGATTCAGTTTCTTTACCTGATTCTGGCTTTGCAGGCAGGTTGCGAAGCCCTTAAGGCATCTATTGAATACATTACTTTAAACTATGATGTTGATGAGAGTAAAGCTATTATTCTCCTTATCCAGTACCAATGGGATAAGAATAGACTAGCAGATGATCTAAGGTTCCGACCTTCCATTGTTCATTGTACAAGCCCATGGAGATTACTACCCCATTTCTCCTGTAAGCTGACTTGTATGCTGGTTAATAGATACTTTCTATTATTTGTTTTGCTTTAGGTTGTTTATTCCTAATCTAGGAGCCCAAACTATGATGTGTGGTGTGAGTTGTTCGAGACTCATTGTTCCAGCTTTGGTGTCTCCGACTACCTCGATGGCTCCTCTAAGCCAACTCCTAACACAGAAAAGCAATAGAAAGAATACGACGGGCTCGTCAAGATGTGGATCTACGGCACCGTCACCGAACAACTCCTTGACACCATCCTCAAAGCCAAAGCATCTACTCGGAACATTTGGCTCTACTTTGAAAACATCTTCAGAGACAACAAAGAAGCTCAATCTCTCTAGTATGACACTGAACTTCGCACGCTCGAGATGGGTGACATGAACATTACATCCTACACCCACAAGTTGAAGTCTCTCTCCGATCTTGTCACCAACCTTGACTCTCCGGTTCCTGAACGAGCCTTGGTAACACACATGTTAAATGGACTCATAGACAAGTTTGATAACATCATCATTGTTATCCAGCATTAGTCGCCTTTCCCGTCATTCACAAAGGCCCGATCGATGCTTCTCATGGAGGAAAAAGGTCTCAGCAAATAAGTCAAACATGCACCTGCACACAACACTGGTGCCTCTTCTCTAAGCGTGCTCTACACGGAGAAGACAGATCAATACTGATCTTACTCTGGCAATGACGGTGGCTCAAATCACCATAATAGCAACAACTATGGACGGGTCACGGCAGAGGCAGAGGAGGATGGAACAACCGCGGACGTGGTCGCAACAACTACAACAACAACCAATGGCAGAATCAGCACGCTTCCTATCCGCTATGGTTCTACAATCAAGCTCTATGGTAGTTCCCATCCACATACGCTGCTCATTTACCTTACACACCACCATACCAACACCAAGCTCCTCCACATGCCATTTCCAGCCCACTGTACCAATCAAGCAACGGACTTCTCGGTCCAGCTTAGCCACGATCTCATGGAGAGGCACACATGGTTCACCTCGCCTCGTCGGCATCCTCATACGGTGGATCAAATGCCTACCTGCCATCAGCTCTCTCTCACGCATTCAGCACAATGAGCGTTCAAGACCCATCGGATCACACTTGGTACATGGACATGGGTGCAACAAATCACATTGCCAACAACCCAGGTAGACTACGTTCCCTTTTTAATAAGAGTAATTTATTTTCTGTACTTGTAGGAAATGGGTCTTCTGCTATCGTAACCAAAACTGACCAAACTATTATCCAATCCAAAACTCGTCCCCTCCAACTTAATAGTGTTCTGGTCTGCCCATCCATCATCAAAAACATGGTGTCGGTTAAAAGGTTTGTTATGGATAATATATGTACCGTTGAATTTGATCCATTTGGCTTTTCTATCAAGGATCTACAAATCCGGAACAATCTGCTCCGATGTGATAGTCTCGAACCGTTCTACATTGTCACGCCATCTCACGGTCAACCGCAAGTTCTCAGCACTATATCTACGTCCGATACAATATGGTATCGTCGGCTTGGTCATCCGGGGCTCTCTACTCTCAAGTCTTTATTTTCCGCTGGTGTTATTTCATGTAATAAGTCCGATTAGACAAAACTATGCCAAACTTGGCAAACATGTTCGTCTTCCTTTTTATGCATCGTCTTCTATTGTGACTTCACCTTTTGAAGTAATACATTCTAATTTATGGACTTCTCCAATTGAAAGCATCAGTGGCATTAAATATTACCTCATTTTTCTTGATGACTATAGTCACTTTATGTGGATTTATCCTCTCAGGCGCAAGACTGACGTTTTCAGCCGATACTTGCATTTTGCAGCCATGGTTCGTACATATTTCCATCGGGAAATTAGATCACTACAATGCGACAACGGTCGAGAATATGACAATCATCTATTTCATGATCAGTTTGCACTACCGGGGACTAAGTTCCGGTTCTCTTGTCCATACACATCCCAACAAAATGGTAAGGCCGAGCGTATGATATGCACCATCAACAATCTGGTCAGGAGACTCCCTTTTCAAGCTCAAATGCCGCCGGTTTATTGGGTCGAGGCACTTCACACCGCCACTCATCTCCTTAATATCCTACCCTCGGCTGGCGTAACCGGTCCAGTACGGCCATCTCCGGGTATTTGGCTCGTTGTGCTATCCGAATTTGCTTCCCATGACTCCGCATAAACTCGTGCCACGGTCAGCTCCTTGTGTGTTCTTAGGATACCCAACCGACCATAGGGGTTTTTGCTGCCTAGATTTACAATCCAACAAGATCATTCTCTCCCGCCATGTTACTTTTGACGAGAATGTTTTTCCATTTATAGCCAAACAAATAGCGCCTTCGCAACCTACACTGGTACCAGCCCCGGTTTTACCTGTACCAAAGCTCACGGGTCAACCACCGACACCAATTATTACCCAACTGGTTCCAACACCACCACCGGTTTCCTCTACCTCCACTCATCCGATGGTAACCCGTAGTAAAGCTGGTATCACAAAACCCAAAACCTGCATGTGCCTACACACCACCACCGCTATTTCACCCCTAAGAAAATCCCATTTACAAGCAGCAAAGGACCCATATTGGTCTCCTACAATGGGGGATGAATATAATGCTCTTATTAAAACGGGAACATGGTCACTAATACCACGTCCCAAGTCTACTAATGTGATTCGCTCTATGTTGTTTTTCAGGCACAAGTTCGATGCAACTGGAAAATTGGTGCATTACAAAGCTCGTCTAGTCGCTAATGGGAAGTCACAACAACTTGGTATTGATTGCGACGAAACTTTTAGTCCGGTTGTCAAACTAGCGACTATCCAGGCAGTACTTCATGTCGCAACAACCAAGAATTGGCCACTCCACCAATTAGACGTCAAGAATGCATTCTTCAATGGTAATATTGACGAGACGGTCTACATGCATCAGCCTCTCGGGTTTCAAGATAAGACAAAACCAGATCACGTGTGTCTTCTCCGGCGCTCTCTCTATGGTCTTAAACAGGCTCCCCAGGCCTGGAATGCTCGTTTTGCATCATTTGCACGTCGCGTAGGCTTCAAACAGAGTGTTATGGATGCCTCTCTTTTCATTCTCACACGAGGTAAAGACATTGCATACCTACTCCTCTATGTTGATGATATAGCAATCACGGCGTCTTCACCATCTCTTCTCAAGTCAATCATTTCGCCTCTTCATTCCGAGTTTGAAATTACCGATCTTGGTCCTCTACATCACTTCTTTGGTATCTCGGTAACACGCAACTCCAAGGGACTGTTTTTGCAACAACAAAACTACGCCGCTGACATTTTACACCGCGCCAACATGACGGACTGCAAGTCGTGCATCACACCTGCAGACACTAAACCCAAGCTTGAGGCCTCCGATAGCCCACCAGTTGAAGATCCTACATTGTATCGAAGTCTTGTTGGTGCCCTACAATACCTAACTTTCACGCGACCTGACATCGCATATGCAGTCCAGCAAGTGTGCCTCTTCATGCACGATCCTCGGGAAATACACTTCAATGCTTTAAAACGGATTCTTCGTTATGTTAAAGGAACAATCACGCAAGAACTTCAGCTATTTTCATCGTCACCTACATCTCTTATCGCGTACTCCGATGCGGACTGGGCCGGCTGCCCATCAACACGCTGCTCCACATCTGGCTTTTGTGTCTTCCTCGGTGACAACTTGATTTCGTGGTCGTCTAAGAGACAGAACACGGTGTCCCGTTCCAGTGCCGAAGCGGAGTATCGTGGCGTTGCCAATGCGGTGGCTGAGCTTACATGGCTACGTAATTTGTTCCTGGAGATGCATTGTCCAATCCCAAAGGCTTCACTAGTCTACTGTGACAATATTAGTGCTGTTTACATGTCCGTTAATCCAGTGCAGCATCAGCATACAAAGCACATTAAAATCGATATCCATTTTGTATGGAGAAAGTTGCTCTCGGTCAAGTAAGAGTTCTCCATGTTTCATCCTCTCACCAGTATGTCGATATCTTCACGAAAGGCCTACCGTCGTCTCTATTTTTAGATTTTCGGTCCAATCTGAGTGTTCAGGAACCTCCAGCTCCGACTGCGGGAGGGTGTTAGAGTAAATATAGGAGTATCTCTTATTTGTATATATCACATATCCCTCGGGATAGATTCTAGCTTATCGATTGTACACTATATATATGAGATCAATGGAATAGCCTAGCTTCCATCCCGGAGTTTACTTAGTTTACAATTATAATAAAATCATTGAATCAAACTACAATTTGATATCTTCTCGGTTGAAATGTTTGTACTTCTTGGACTTGTAGTCTATTCCTAAAATGGAATCTCGAACTCAACTTTGTCTTGAAATGAGTTTCATTCATTGTGCTTAATACATTGATTCAATATGATTCATGTATTTCTCAGCTGAAAAACACAGAACAGAATCCAATATTCTTTATCCCTAATCATATATTTAAGTTACTAAGCACCAATCTCCAAATTCTAATAGCACCAAACCAAATAATAAAAAGCGAACTTGAGAAAAAAAAAATACATAGCCAGAAACTATTAATCATCAAGAGCAATAAACTTAAGAGAAAGAGTCTTGACAAATCCTACATTAACCCCTTTACTCAAATCCAACAATTGCAGCAAACTCTCACAAGCAAATCCACCCCAACAAAAGCACTTGCTCCGATCATATATCACAACATTGCAGCAATCCCAAAGCCGATCATCGCGCACAAAACATAACATACATGAGAAGGTTTTTGTTGAACCATAAAGATGAAAGAGAGTTAAGTTGTTATGGCTTGAGATGGCAATTTCGGGTGGTTATGCTCTGCTTCATAAGTAACAATAAGCATTGCCGGATCTTCCAAACATCTCTCAACATGCTTCCTCGCTGGACAACCTCTCATGCTACTGCATTTGTAATATCCCCTACACAAAAAAAAATCCAACACAACACTTCTTTAAAAGACTAAACTTGTGTCATCTCTTTGCCATTTCTAGACTATTTTGTCTCTATGAATCTCAGCTCATCACACAACTCAAAAGCCTTAAATACTTTTAAAAGGATTGTTCTTTGCATGTGATCTCAGTCTTTTTTATCTCCACCAGGAGTTCTTAAAATAACAGAGAATGATCAAGAAGTGTATACCTAGGATAAGGAGAGCCTTTGATGGGTTTCTGACCATATTTTCGCCATGAATAATCATCAGGAGGAATATCTGCAACCTTGTTACTTATAGCCGGTACTCTGATCGATCTCCTAACCCGATGTTTCCTGTCAATTTCCCAATCAGATTAATTGTACCATCTTAGTTAAGAAAGGCTATGAAAACGAAACAAAAATATGCAGCTGACCTCTTCTTAGCGCAGTGGCATCGGCTAGAGCTCCCACATTTTAAGCCTCCATGTTCATCTCCTTTCAGGGGGCATTTCCTCTTAGAGTGTAGTGAATTCTGATCCGTTGAACTCCGAACCCCAACCAAATGAAACGAGTTCTTTCTTTCTATGTTAGCAACACTACCATCTATGCTAAGTGAAGAAACAAAGGACCTAGTAGACGACATGGTTGGAGTACAACTCGAGTTATCGAAACTCAAACTTATCCCACCATTGCATTTCCTAAGCATAATCTCAGCTTGATGTTTCTGCAGCTGCTGCTGCTGATGAAGATGGTGAGCTTGTAACCGTTCATGAAACGGCTGTTGCTGCTGCTGTTGTTGCTGTTGTTGTTGTACTGGAAACAAAGTAGGATAATTCGAAGAAGGCATTGTCTGCTGGTTAAGCTGAAGGAGAGGAGCTTTAGCATTTGAGTTTAAACTGAAAGAGCGAGTCCCTAAAGTGAGTGATGAATCTGAAGGTTGTCTCAAGCTCAATTCCTGGAAACCAGACCGGAGTACCGGTGTTTTCTGAGACGATGATGATGGAACTTCTGTTGTAGTTCTTTGTTGACAGGGATCAAGAAAGAGGCTTTGAGACAAATTAGTCTGAACTTTCTTAGCTCTTCTAAACCTAGCATGACCCACACTACTGCTTAACAAAGTCCCAACTCTCTTGAACCTAAACACAGCTTCTCTAGTTTCAGATACCAAATTCCTGTCAAACACAACACGATCTTGTTGTTGTGGTCTTTGTAAAAGATTAAGAACTCTATGACAACTCTCTACAGCTGCTCTGTTTGTTCCTTCTATCTCCTCCATCTCTTACACAACCCTAAGAACCCTAATTTTCCCCTGAAAAAAACAAAATTTTCACTCACAAGACTCAAGACCCAGATAGTCAAGTTTCAATCTTTACACAAACCCATCCCCAAAGAAGTTCCCTTTCTTAAGCTTGAAAGCTCTGAGTCTCTTATAAGAAGAAGATCAAGGTAAAAAAAGAGGAGGAATTGAGAGAGAGGGAATGAAGAAGAAGGAAAAGTAAGAGGGTTCCTTGGATGCTTGTAGAGCTAAAAAGAGGGTCAGTGTTAATGAGTTGTCAAACCCAAGATTCCTCCACCATCTTTAAAGGAGAGGTTCGAGAAAACGAAAGGTGTGAAAGAGAAGACTTTCTTGCACACACAGACACTCTCTCTTCTCTCTCTCTATAAGTTGGCTTCAGCAATCACTCAACCAAAAGAATACAAAAATTGAAAGCATCCTTATGAATTTCTTTTTTTTTACCCCAAAACAAAACAACACAGTGAAACAAATCATTTTATTAAAAAAAAAAAAGACAACTTTATTTTTGGAAAAGCAAAGAGAGGAAAAAAGGAGAGAGAGAAAAAAACGAAACCAGCGTCTGTCACAGATTCAGAGGTGGGTCCTACTCGAAGACTCGGGTCGTAATTATTATTTTTGCAATTTAGGTTTTTTTTCTTCTTACATATATAAAACAAATCTAATTTTCTGACAAGAAAAATAACTAATCAAATTTAGCATCATCATACTTAGGACATTTTGTTGACCTCTATTATCTAAAGATTTTTGCATATAATACCGTATTATTTTCTTTTAATTAAATAGATCTACGACTTGTTTCATCGTTGTTATCCACGAATTTAATCAAAGAGTGAAAGTTAATTTCCAAGTTTTTGATAAGTAACTTGACACAAAAGAAAGTTTTTGATTAAGTAAAAGAAAAAGTAGTATTAGCTTTTTTTTGGCAGTTTCTAACGGTTACTTAGTACACTTGAGTCTTGAGGTGTCTTTTTTCTTCTACGGATCAATGATGTGTTTTTGGTATTAAGTGTTGCTAAATGTAGAAAAATATCTACTAACAAACATTTTAACGATTTCACTACTAGATATTACTAAATTTGTACATGTTTTGAGTATTAGAACTTTTTTCTATCTATTAATCTAACATTTCAGCATCCATTAGTTATGAAATTCCAATTTGTTATTGTTGAATATAACTTTCATTTGTTACGCATAAATCAATTACAACATTATTTGTGCGTGTCTAGTTAATAAGGAATCTATCGAAAATCTGCTTTTAAAATTAAAGTAACGCATATCATCATTATTAAGCGACAAAAGAATTTACATATTACATGTAAGATAACTGATGATGGACGAATCATACGTTACTCTCTAAGAAACAGTAAGAAAGACATCGTTACGCCAACTAGTCAAGTGTGTCTGTTCTAGTAACGTATGTTTGGGGAACTAGCCCCGCCGAGTCTAATTCACGTGTACTTCTTGTGGTGGAAAATCGACTAATGGATTAAAGTATCGTTGTAGATTCAAATCTGGTTGAAATAAAACCTTATTAATACCTCACTATTGCTTTCTCTTATAGCTTCAATGTAACAGTTTCTAAATGTAAAAGTAGTCCATTTTCTGAATTAAAGTAACGCACATCATTATCAATAAGCGACAAAAGAATTTATATATTCATGTACAAGACATTTGGTGATGGAAGAATCGTACGTTACTTATGAAACGTGAAGAGGACATCGTTACGTCAACTAGTTAAGTATGCTTGTTCAAATAACGTATGTTAGGGGAACTAGCCGTGTCAAATCTAATTCACGTGTGCTTTTTTATGGAAGATCGACAAGTGGATAATTTATTCGTCCATAAAACAACATATACCTACAATATAAATCCAGTAGAAGTAAAACCTTATTAATACCTCAATATTGCTTTCTCTTGCAATCATATTGTAACCGTTGCTAAATGTAGAAAAATATCTACTAACAAACACCACAGTGATTCCAATACTAGATATTGGTAAACTGGTAATTTTTGAGTATCATAACATGTTTCCCATATATCAGTCTAACATTTAGCATCCAAAATTTGTTATGAAATTTTAATTATTCTTATTGGAGATAAATTTTATTTGTTAGGCATAAATCAATCACAACATGATATGTGCATGCTTAGTTAATAGGGTATCTATCGAAAATTCGCTTTCTGAATCAAGGTAACGCATATCATCATCATTAAGCGACAAATGAATTTACATATTTCACCATCATGTGCGAGACAGTCGGTGATAGATGAACATACATTACTTTGGAAACAGTATAAAAGACAATTACGCCAACTCGTCAAGTGCGCTTGTTCTAGTAACGTATGTTAGAAGAACTTGCCGCGTTGAATCTAATTCATGTGAGCTTTTTGTGGGAAATCGATAAATAAATAATTTAGTCGTCCATAAATAATGACCCAAGATTCAAACCTAATTGAAGTAAAGCCCTAGTAATACCTCATTATTGATTCCTCTTAAAATCTCATTACAACAGTTTCTAATTAGCACATTGTGCAAGTCAATTTGTGATGAATGAGTTATACTTTACTTTCGAGACAGTAAGAGAAACATTGTTACGTCAACTAGTCAATTACGTTTGTTCTAGTAACGTATATTAGGGTAACTAGCCGCGCAGAATCTAATTCACATATAATTTTTGTGGAAAATTGACAAATGGATAATTTATCTGCCCATAAAACAATGTCCCAAAATCCAAATCCAGTTAAAGTAAAACTCTATACATACCAAGTGATTTTAACTATTTTTGTGTGCAAATTTATTCATTTCCCAACAGAAGTATCTAGAAACAAATGCAAAAAGACAACCAAATTTCTGTTTTAAAAAATAAATAAGAAAATTCAGCTTTAATTTTGCATTGTGTATAAAAATTGTTAGAAAAAAAAGGTACACTTCCTGAATAAGTTTTTTTTTTTTTAGTTTTGTTCTTTTTACTTGTATCAATAATGCCTAAGTCATTCGATTCACAAAGATTCCGTGTACTTCTCCATTTAGTCCAAACAAGGAAACAAATGTTTATAGAAATGACAACATTATCCTATCATACATTCAAATGTCCAAAAAAGGACACAATCTCCTTAAAAACAGCCATTTTTGAATCTTCTTTGATAACAAACAAAGTGTCTGTCTCACACCATTTTTTCAAGATTATAATTAAATAAATATAAATTGCTAAGTTTCTTTCTACACAACACATTCCACTGCTCCTGCACTTTTCTTCTTCTTCAATGTATAATTCTTTAGTTGTTGCATTCAGGGAGCTTCCGAGAATAAACTAGCACCATTACAAATTCCTTTGCAGAGGATCCTATTGACGCAGCGACTCTTTGATGCTTAGAAGTTGTTTCCAACCATAGCTCTACTAAGCTGTGAAGCTGCAACGTTGGGATCACTGGTTCTCCCATACATTTTATCTCTACCTGTTTAAGAAAAAAAAAACATAATCGACTGAGCTTTTAATCCACTAGATCCTCAATTTCTTGTTGAAGTTAATATAGGCATTTCCAGGGTTCAAAGAATCAAGCCAATGGTTAGAAAAGTCCAGATCATATATGACTCGCGATACACAAGCAAAGGATCTTAGTTAACCAACAATTAAAGATCATATATGTCATATTTAGCTTTACGGACCGGTGAGACTTATTAAGCCATGATCATGCTATAGGTGTGGCTCGTGAGTCATAAAAATTTCAAGGTAATACCAACAGTTACGGACTTTTTATAGTCATCCCAGTAAGCACAAGATTGACTCGATCTACAGAACTACAATCTATGGAAACAGAAACGTAGTAACTTCATAAAAAAAGGTTGCTTACCTCAGCTTCACTCTTGAGATCAAGCTTCCTCATAAGGTACTTTTGGATAAACGAAACTGGAATATTTCCATCCCTACATATAATGAGAATTATGTGTGATGGGCCAAAAAAAGAAGAAGGCTTTATCAAGAAACGTATACCACATAAAACAAACATAACATGGAAACTCTGGGTAAAACAACTGCGAAATGGAATACAAAACCATAAACGCAATGAATCACAGTTGACATATAAAAACTTAGTGACAAGAAAACAGAGCCAAGCAAAAAGAGAAACTTACTTTATTCTCAAGTAGTTTGCTGGAATCTGAGGCAAGGATGCTTCTCCTTCCCTGAAACCAGTAAGGCCTTGTCAAGATACCAAGAGATAAAAACGAAAAGACAAAGAAAATCTTGGATTAAAACTCAGATACAGAACAAGAATCTCACTGATTATTTGACGCCACAAGTGAGAACCAAACATGACCATTTCTCCTCTCCTGTTTTAGGCTTGCTGCACCTGGTAATGGTGGAATTCTTGAATCCCCGAAATTGGATGACCTTTTGCGGCGAGTCCTACGCGTTCCTTTAAGTGTAGCAGTTTCTGATATTGTAGGATCACCATTATTGTTGATCTCTTCCTCAAGTTTACACTTTCTTTTATGATCCTTTGTTTTTGTTTTACTCCCCTGAACATCATTGTGAGATGCATTTCCATGCTCAGATTTTGGATCCTTTGTTCCGTTTGCCACATCCACAAGGAAATTTAGAGGTTTCCAAAGATGTAATTTGGAATCCCATGGTTCATCAACATCCTTGTTTCTTCGATTAGAGAGGGACTGGTTAGGCTCTGCATATGAAGACTGCAAAAAAACAATTAATAAATAAATAAATGTATGGAACTATATGGAGATCATAATCAGTCATAACATTGTGTTTGGACTTGGTAAAGAGAGAAAATAAAAACATAAAGGTAAAGAGAGAACTGCGTTAATCACCTTCTTTACCTGCCTTTTATTCTGAGTAAACTTTTTAACTGTTTCAGGTGAGCTTGCGCTCTCTATATGATCATCTCCAAATTCTTCTTCCTTCTTCACTGTTCTCTTAGTGAATGAGCCACTACCTCTTACATCTTTTCTCGTAGCAGCTTTTGTTCTTTTTCCTGTTGTACCAGCTTGTGCTGAAACCCTAGGTGTGCTTACCACCAAAGACGAGATAGACCTCTCCTTCCTCCTTGCAGGTAATGTGATGGAGGACACAACTTCAGGCGCTCTCTCTCTCTTTCGTTTTAGAGGAAATAATTTGGCTCTCAAATCTTGCAAAATGTGGTCAGGCCTAAAATACATACATAAGAGTGGTTTCTTAGAAAAAGAATAAATTCGCCACCAACAAAGCTCTTATTGGTGACCAGCTAGTAAGAGAGAGTATAGTTCTAACAAAAATTGTTGGTGTCAGCAAAAAAGTATTACACTATCCAACACATAAGTGATTCTGAATCAAATGACTTTTCTTGATTAACTTCACATTATGCCACAAAAATTATGGAAAAACCTTTCACATGTGGCACATCTCAGCATAATCATGTACAACTCTTCAGCATTATGTAAAAAAAATTCGTTTCATCAACAGTAAGAGCCAAAAGGCTTCAAACAGTCTATGGTACAAATATAATATTGATAGAAGGAATCACTGCTAAAACAAGACCAAAGAGAAAATTGTGTAAGAAATAGAAGAGAAGAAGACTACCTTAGTTTCTCCAGTGGGGTACCCCCGAGGTCAATATCGCATACTGGACAGCACTCTATCTCATCCTCTGTGATTTTCTCATATATGCATTTTCTACAAACTGCATAAAAGTGATATAAGAACTTGTCTCATTTCAATATATAGTAACTATCAAGTAAGAACAAAATCTCTTGTAACAAATGCGACCAAATTACATAAAAACAAACTCAGATAAAAATGTTTAACTAAAAAATGAATAGCATAATGTTTGAGGTTCAATGCAAGCTGGCTCGCTGCCAAGTTTGAAATTTATTAGATACAATTTTAGATTCTCGGACTCCTTCCACCACATCCATTGTAGCAAGGGCAATTGTCATGGCAGAAGCTTGTAGACAAGTGGTTCATTAGCATCATCCAGTTTGGTTTTTAAATCATGTTCATCTATAGCTAACAACCTAAGCAAAAGAGATGGCATCACAAAATTGATGGGGATACTGCATGCATCCCCAGAAACAAAACCGTGAAGAAACGAGAACACCTAATTTTGGCACTGCAGTAACTCAAAAAGGGATTCTACACTATGCAGGGCGTTCTGAAGATTAAAGAATTGAGAAAAGGCTGGTAAATTCATTAACTTCCGATGTTAAAAGGAAGATGCTAATTGTGCAATTTAACCACACTGCTAGCATTTAACTTTCATAAATCAGATGATATGAGCACATCAATCAGATTTACCTAACAAGTGTAAATTAGTCAAGCTCTACTATTACAGAATGACATCTGCATATATTTCTTTGACCGGTTTGGCCATCAGAGTAAACACGGTAAATTTCTCCGCAAACAGTAACAAAGAGCTGGTTGTGTAGAGTTTGGATTTGTAGATCGATTTAGTCTCCAAAAGGAATATAATTTAAGATTTAAATGAAACACAGAGTGCAGTAAATAGTTCTACATGCAGGAAGATCACTAATACTCTGTCCAAACAGAAAATTATCTAAACTGTCTTGATTGTATAATATCCCAGAGAAGAAAGAGGCTGATAAACGGTACTTAAGACAAATATCAACAGACATTAAACCAATAAGAGCAGATTAAATCACATATTACTTGAACTTTCTAATACAAAACTTACAAGTTGGATATAACAAAGCAGCTGAATCTAACAAACAACATGCAGCCACATTACATGATTTAACCGAAACCAAATTCAAGAAGAAGCCTAATTTGGACGGCATGAGTTTGACCACATACCATCTTTGACGAAGAAAACACTCTCAAATTTGCCTATACAGAGGAACAAATGAAGATTCTTGCAGTTTAAAACAAATTCTGGTCAACAAGAACTTTTAGTCCAAACAAAACTATTCATTGACCCGAGTTTCATCTAATCGACTGATACAGAGGAGATTATAAGTGGCATACGAGACTAACAACAAGAATCATACAAAGATTCAATACATAACAGCAATCTCAATCAACATGAAGCAAAAAAAAAAAAAAAAAAAAATACAACAGAGAATCAATCAAAGAACGATAAAGACGAGAAATTGCGAATAGCAGAGGAAATTGGAGGAAAAGCGAATCGAAACGTAAATCGAAAAGGGGAAAGAAGAACTAACACGTGTGAAGACACTCAGAAATGGTAGTGGCGTCACGGAGGAGTTTCTCACAGAGAGAGCAAGTCATGCATGCCACCACCGTTTCTCTCTTCACTTTAGCCACCATGTCTCCTTCCATTGCTCTCTTAACGACTCTTTTAAAGCCTTAAAGTCTGTTGAGTCGATGAATCGCACGTACTATCCCCAAAACTGCATGTAGAAGAAAAACGACGACCCACAAGAAAAAGAACCCAGATTTACGTTCACAACAACTCTCGTGGGTGATACCTACATTCAAATCCAAATCCGATAGAGACTCGAGACTGAATTTAGCCGAAAAGGGTCGAGGAAAAGCGGAGTTAAAGAAGTCTCAATCGGAAGAAAGAGAGTGATGAAGAAGAGTCGACGGAGAGAAGAGGGTGAGGAAGAGAGAATCTGGGGATGAGAGAAGGATAAAAATGGAGATAGATTCGGTGGATTAGGGTGAGTATCAAACTGAGGAGGAGACGATCTGAATCGAGGAAGAAGAAGAAGAAGAAGAAGAAGAAGAAGGTGAGGATTGAAGAAGGGTCTCTCAATAAAGAGAGGGTCTTCGTGTTGAAGAGAAGAATGAAGAGAAACGATACCGTAAAGAGTAAAAGACGTTTCTTCTTTTTCTCTCTTTTTTATTTTTATTTTTTTTCCAATTGTGTAAATGGGCTTTTCCGAGGTGAAACAATGCTGATGGGCTTTTTCTTTTTTCTTGTTTTTTACTTGAGTTTGTGCGGTTTTACTCTCTTTTTTAAACCTTTTACTTCTTTTTTTTTGTTTTTTTTACAATTTGACATCATTAGGGAAATACTTGGAAGTGTAACTAGAGAAAAAGTGAATCAAGTAATTAACAAATTAAAAAAAATGAAGAATAAACAATGAAGAGGAGGAATCAATTACACTTGACAGAGTATTTGGTTCTCAATGATGAATTTGTAATTTAAAAATATATATATGTATATACAAAAAGTTTACAAGAAATAGCATCAAAATGATCAGAAACAATCATAAATATTATTACTGTTAATAAAAAAATAAAACGCTTTAGATGAATGATTATTCAATGATTTTTCCATTAATGAATTCTAATAAATAATGTTTTTTCAAGTAACTTTTTTCTAAATACTTGTCAATTATATCATGTCAAGATACGTGGATGTCTAATTTATAATGTGGATGTCAAATTCATAATGGATATTTTGAAGATTAATCTCTCACCTATCTTGTTTTCTAAGAAGTTCTGAAAATAGCATAAGTTGGTAGGTCGCATACTTCCCGCAAGAACACACAATTTTTATGGAAGATCGACAAGTATATAATTCATTCGTCCATAAAACAAAATTCAAAAATTCAAACCTAGTTGAAGTAAAACCTTATTAATACCTCAATATTGCTTCATTTTGCAATTATAGTGTAACACTTGCTAAATGTATAAAAACATCTACTAACAATCACTACACCGATTTGAATACTATATATTGATAAATTGGTAAATCTTTTTTAGTATTATAACTTTCCTATGTATCAATCTAACATTTTAGCATCCAAAATTAGTTATGAAATTTTAATTATTCTTGTTGGAGATAAATTTTTTTTGTTAGGGATAAATGAATCACAACATACATAATATGTGCATGTTTAGTTAATTGGATATCCATCGAGAAGTCGCATTCTGAATTAAAGTAATACACATTATCATTAAGCGACAAAAGAATTTACACATTTCGCCATCATATACAAGACGAATCGTACATTACTTTCAAAACAGCAAAAAAGACGTTTTTACGCCACAGAGACCAAACAAATATAAACTCATCCATGGAAAAACAGTTACAATTTCCAAATTCGACATCAAATATTCATGTTGTTCCTCCAAAGTACAAAGGTGTGAAATTCATCAAGTACGCTTGTTTTAGTAACGTATGGTAGAAGAATTAGCCGTGTTGAATTTATTTTTGTGAAAAATCGACAAATAGATAATTTATTTGTCCGTAAAACAATAACCCAAAAAATGTTGTAAATAACATTCAACACCACAGAGACCAAACAAATATAAACTCATCCCCAGAAAAACAGTTTCAATTTCCAAATTCGACATCAAATATTCATGTTGTTCCTCCAAAGTACAAAGGTGTGAATTTCCCACTCTTGAAAATCACACTCTAGCCACGTGTCAGAACATCAATCGTGGCTTGGGAGAATTTCCACTAAGCCAATCAAAAGAAGACAAATCTTAGTAACTTTGCTTGCACATGTACACCGCGCCGCACTAGATCCTTATCGCCTCCAGGTCGCAACATTTGATATCTCAACATTGATCCTCTCCGTATAAAAATAAAATGAATAAAATTGATTTTTATTTTCTGAATTAAGTGGAAAAAAAAAGAGCAGAAGTCTCTAAACATGCACGAGGAAGCTCTGAATCTCCCAGATATGAAATCGTAGAAACAGACTCTCTCGCATTTATCGAATCCAAATCTGGAAATTGGAAATTGGAATCCCTAATCTGTTCATCGTTTTCTTCAATTGCTTGTTGAAGAAGCAGTGAATCTCCGAGATCTGTGTTCTTCCCTCTGGGAATGTGCTTCTTCTTCTTCGTGGAGAACGATTAAAGCGAAACGGGAGATAAATATATGAAGCGTTCTCTGACTCTGAGAAGTGACGCACATTGATGAATCAAGTTCGTCGTTGGCAGAGGATTTTGATCCTCTCGCTGCTATTGTTATCTGTGTTAGCTCCGATTGTTTTCGTTTCGAATCGGCTCAAGAGTATTACTTCCGTCGGTGAGCTTCTTCTTATTCGGTTTCTTCAATTCAATGTCTATTTTAGTGTTGCAGTTGTTAGATTGATGGATATGGCCTTAATATAGTGGAACATCATGTGTAGAGTTACTTGATTGCGTTAATTAGATCTCTGGAATTCGCTATTGGCTTTGCCTTTGTTTGATGTAGGCTCAGCTTTTGATTTTGAATTTGTTTACTGATTGTTTTTTGGCAGATAGAGGAGAATTCATTGAAGAATTATCAGACATTGTACGTATTTCCTGACCTATTAGATCCCTGTTTTATTCTGTTCTAATCCTCACCAGGAACTCTTCAGTATTGCTGTTTGATTGTGCCATGATTATATATCGTAGCTTTGCTTATTATCCGATTCATTTTCTCAAGAAATGAATAACTGAGATGCTGCTACCTTTATTCTGCAGACATATAAGACCGATGATCTTGGACTTACTGCTATTGAACAGGTTCTGTTCGTTGCCACTCATCTCCATAAACCTTGTTTAAGCATTCATTTTGTTGAAGTTGGGTTGCTTTGTAATTCAGGACGAAGAAGGCTTGAAGGAGCCTAAACGGATTCTGCAGGATCGAGATTTTAATTCTGTGGTTTCATCAAATTCCTCTGATAAAAGTAATGATACTGTGCAGTCTAATGAGGGAGACAAAACAACCTTTCTCTCAGAAGTTGATGGGGGTAATATATATCGGATCTTGTGTTATTTTAATTTGTTGTCATTATTGTGGAAGCTTTCTTATCTGTAGATACCATGTATGTCAGGAAATAATCACAAACCAAAGGAGGAAGAAGCAGTAGTTTCACAGAAAACCACAGTAAGCTCGAATGCGGAGGTGCGTAGTTTAATCCAATTGATTTTGAAGATAATAACGAACTTGATTAGGGATTAGGTTTTGAAGCAATTGACAATGAGAATTCTAGTATCTTATTATCAAATCACAGGACACTTTCTCCCATGGGCTTTGCCAACACTTATGTATAGGAAACTGAATTTAGACTTTGCATCGAGATAGTCAGTCAGATCATATGCTTTAGTTTTGCAATGTCTGTTCGTTTTCCTGTCTCAGGTTAATCTTTCAGCAAGAGATATTCAACTTAATCATAAAACGGAATTCCGACCCCCTTCAGGTAAGAGTGAAAAGAATACAAGGGTTCAGCTTGAAAGAGCAACAGATGAGAGGATAAAGGAGATCAGAGACAAAATTATCCAAGCGAAAGCCTATCTGAACTTGGCCCTACCTGGGAATAACTCCCAAATCGTAAAGGAATTGAGAGTTCGAACGAAAGAGCTGGAACGAGCTGTCGGTGATGCTACTAAGGATAAATATTTGCCAAAGAGGTAAGCACAGCTGATTGATTCAAATGGATTCCTGTTCTATCCTGTAAAAAGCTTTGGCATTTAATTATGAAGCTAAATCTTAATGAATATTGTGTTAATTTAGAAGAGTCATACATAAATGTTTTGTTTCTTTTCAGCACTCCTAACAGATTGAAGGCCATGGAAATTGCGTTATACAAGGTCAGTCGTGCCTTTCACAACTGCCCTGCCATTGCTACCAAACTCCAAGTCATGACTTATAAAACCGAAGAACAAGCTCGGGCGCAAAAGAAGCAAGCAGCATATTTAATGCAGCTTGCAGCAAGGACTACCCCAAAAGGGCTTCATTGTCTCTCAATGCGGTTGACAACAGAATACTTTACCCTGGATCACGAAAAAAGGCAGCTTTTGCAACAAAGTTATAATGATCCTGATCTCTACCATTACGTAGTCTTCTCTGACAATGTTTTGGCCTGTTCGGTTGTTGTTAACTCTACAATCTCCTCATCAAAGGTAAATGCTTCACCTTTGTTCTCTTTCTTTCAACATTTTGTGGTTCATTCCTTTATACGCCTTAATTTGATATCTGGACAAATGCTTTAGCCTTTAGGCTTCTATTGTGGTTAGTACCATGGGATTTTGTCTGGTTATGAAACTAGGAAAAGGAAGTTACATTTTGTGTGATTTTTTCATTGAACAACTACGGTTTTTTTTATTAACTACGTCCTTTTTTTATTACTGTTGACATACTTTCTGTTGTTTTATGTTTTCATGATTCAAAATTTATGACTCTTATTACTCAAGTATCATTTTAAATCATGTTGTAAGCATCTTACACTTGTTAATGCAAGAGCCAATTTCTGATCAAAACTTTTGGTTTGTTTATAATGCTTGGAAGAGAATATTTCCAAATCTCTGCTGAAGCCACATGTCTTTTAACAAATGATATTACTGCTTGCAGGAACCGCAAAAAATAGTATTCCATGTGGTGACTGATTCACTCAATTACCCAGCAATCTCAATGTGGTTTTTATTAAACCCATGTGGCAGAGCTTCAATCCAAATCCTAAACATTGATGATATGAATGTCCTGCCTTTGGACCATGCTGAATTGCTGATGAAGCAAAATTCAAGTGACCCAAGAATCATTTCAGCGCTCAACCATGCACGCTTCTATCTCCCAGATATCTTCCCAGGTCTAAACAAGATCGTACTCTTCGACCATGATGTAGTAGTTCAAAGAGATCTAAGTAGACTGTGGAGCCTAAATATGACGGGGAAAGTTGTTGGAGCTGTAGAGACGTGTCTTGAAGGTGAACCGTCATATCGTTCGATGGACACATTCATTAACTTTTCAAATCCATGGGTTGCTCAGAAATTTGATCCCAAGGCTTGCACTTGGGCATTCGGGATGAATCTATTTGATCTCCAAGAATGGAGAAGACAGGAGTTGACTTCTGTATACCAGAAATACTTGGACCTGGTACAACATTTTATCCTCTTTTAGTTCTCTGCATCAAGCAAGATTCACACTGTTACCTTGATGAGTTCTGAGTTTATATAGAAGAAAAATGGTTATGTCCATCAATAGAACTAGCACATCTTACTTATTTGTGTGTTGTGAAATTGTTTTTGTTGCAGGGAGTCAAAAGACGTATGTGGAAAGCAGGGGGCTTGCCAATAGGTTGGTTGACTTTCTTCGGGAAAACGTTACCATTGGAAAAGAGATTGAATGTGGGTGGGTTAGGTCACGAATCAGGAGTCAGGGCAAGCGACATTGAACAAGCGGTGGTTATACACTACGATGGGATCATGAAGCCGTGGCTGGACATCGGTATAGACAAGTACAAGCGCTACTGGAACATACATGTACCTTACCATCACCCTTACTTACAACGATGCAACATTCACGATTGATTTTTTAAACAAGTTACCACAAAACTTAGATTCAATTCGATTCTTTTCTTCTTTCCAAATGTTATCATTAGCTTCATTCTTTAACGATTTCTTGTGTAAATTTTTGTTCTTTTTGATACAACACACAAAAATTCCTCAGAACATAATATCAGATTTAGTTCACAGCAACATATATAGTGTTGTTCGTTGGTTGTTATATGTGCAATCTGGATGCAGTTTATCATACTAAACCAGTAGAGAAGAGAGAAAAAGATTGTGTTGGAGGGAAAGAGATGAAATGTGACACGTGGAGGGAGCTAATTGGTGGAGTATGGATAGAAGCATATCCAAGTTAGATGGCTTGTGTTGGTTCGGGGAGATTTGTTATCCACCACATATTTTAGTCGCTATGTTTGATCCAAAAGCCAACACAAGCAAAGAAATTAAAAGTGTTCTTGTTGCTATAGAACACAAAACAGAACAAACACAAATCAATTGAAGAGTCTCTCAGTTGTTAGGGGAAGCAAATAGAGAAATGGCTAGCTTTACTGCCTCCGCTTCCACCGTCTCCGCCGCTCGTCCGGCTATCCTTCTCAAGCCTACCGTCGCCGTATCCGCTCCTGTTCTTGGTAAAGGCCTTCCCTTTTCTTTCTCAGATCTCATCTTTTAGTAGAAATTCATTCTGGTTATGTGCAAAGTGAAAATCTTTGGTTGCTTATATTTGTTGAGTGATTTTCGGAACATGTAAAGACAGAATCTTACTTTGGTGGTGAATCAACAAGAAGTCAAGAAACAATTATGATCTAAAGGTTTGGTTGTAGTCAGAACTAATCAGAGGAGTGTTGATTTATAATGTCGATTTTGCTGATTTAGTTTTGTGAGTTTAGACCAAGCTTAGTTTTGTAGAGAATCAACAATAAACCAATTTTGATTGTAACCACTTTAACTGGATTAATTATTGTTGCTCAGGTTTGCCTCCAATGGGTAAGAAGAAGGGAGGAGTGAGATGCTCAATGGAGACAAAGCAAGGAAACGTCTCAGCCATGGGGGCTGGAGTTTCAGCAGCAGCAACAGCTGCTTTGACAGCGGTGATGAGCAATCCCGCGATGGCTTTGGTTGATGAAAGGATGTCGACAGAAGGAACAGGGTTACCTTTTGGCCTAAGCAACAATCTCTTGGGTTGGATTCTGTTTGGAGTCTTTGGTTTGATCTGGACTTTCTTCTTCGTCTACACTTCATCTCTCGAGGAGGATGAAGAGTCTGGTCTTTCACTCTGAAGAATCAAATCTTCTTCTTCTCATTTCCATTTTCATGTGAGAACATGAATTAAAAAGTGTCCGTTTCTAGTTTCTTGTAATTGTTAAGTAAAGACTAAAACTATTTTCATGTGTGTTTCCTCTCATTCTCTTTATCTTATCACAAATGTGATTATTAAGTATCATGCATGACATGTTCATCAAAACCAAACAATTGAAATGGATGAACTCGAGAAGCCCATAAAGATCATTGTTTATTTTCGGAGTCTCTTGAGAAACTGGTTTAACAGTAGTAGTACTTAGTATTGATATTCAAGGCAGCTATGGACCATATATATATAAATAAGACAAATAAAGCAAAAACTCATTTATTCATTCATTAGATTTGGTAATAGTAACCACATTCACTGCATAGACATGGAATACAGACCAAAATCACTTGTTACCCTGTCCACTACCATGCAGATTATCAAAGTAACCTTTAGGGTCACTCTCAAAGTTGTCTCTTGAAATGTAAGAAGATCCATTGCTCCCTGGCGCAACCATGTAGCCACCTCCTCCACCACCACCACCACTGCCTTTCCCTCCTCCTCCACCGCCACCGCCTTTCCCTCCTCCTCCTCCTCCACCGCCGCCGCTCCTTCCTCCACTGCCACCACCACCACCACCTTTCCCTCCTCCACCACTACCGCCTTTTCCTCCCATGCTTTGAAATCGTAGTACTTAGTTTGACTCTTTAGAAGTTTTTAAGATTTTGTGTTAGTGAGAAATGAGAGTGAAAAGGATGGGGTATTTATAATAGGTAAAAATTTCAAATGCATGGTCAAAACCAACCTTTCCCAATAAAAAGATTTAATTTAGTCGTTGCATTTTGATTAACACAACCCAATCGCCTCGTAAACGTAAGTTATATCAAATTATCAATAAGAGACGTTGACCAAACAAAGCATGCAAGTGATGAGATGATTCTAACATTTTTTATTTCAAAAGATGGATGTGAAAAATTTACAAATTCTGAAAATGAGTATATTTATATATGTGTGTGTGATTAAAGAGGATGATCAAGACGGAGCTGAGAGAGATGGTGGTGGATGTCAGGAGAATGATGATCCTCAGAACGGAGTCGCTCGGCTTGAATCCAACGACCTTCACTATTCCGAACCATTCCTTTGTTTGCGTCTTGACGCCAAAACGGTGGAATTTGTAAGTGTTCTTTCAAAAAGTCCGACGCTTTGTTCACTAGCGCATGGTCTCTCCCACTCGACAGCACAAATCTCTCTCCTTTTCCATGATACCTAAAGTTTCCAAAAAAAATATTTAAAAGCGACGTCAATAGTGTATGATTAGTCGCATAATTTACTAAATCGACATCAATTTCACGTGATATATATTCGGGTCAATCATATCGCAAACATAAATTAGACGTCATCTCTCAGTATATATAATATTCAAACTATGTACACTAGTTTCTTCTTGAATATTTTAATGTGGATATCGTATCGTCCAAGAAATCATTTATCCCACGGCTTCAAAATTTGTCACTTTGCAGTTCCACAGAAAAATAACATAAAGCTTTTGGCTAATTAGATTTCTTTTTGTCGAGTTATGCAAATTTTGTTTAAAATTGTTGTGATCTTGAAGCATGGCAACACCAAAAATAAATTATGAACATGAATATATATAATCTATTTAAAATAAAATAAAAACTGACCCGTCAAGAAGATGAAGCATAGCTTCAAGATTATGGGAAGTGGAAAGATCAACGGAAGGTTTAAGAAATGGCGAGTTCTGATGATCCAACGCCAGCTCCTCCCCCACGTGGCTATAACACCACGGCAAACCCTCCGCGATCTTCATCAGCGCGTGAGGCCGACTCTCGTTCAAAAACAATCCCGGCGACTTGGGAACCACGTCGTGAACATTCACCACTCTCAGCACCTTCACTCCAAGCTCCTCCATCCTATCCTTAAACCTAACATTCCCCACTCTCGGTCCTCCGTAAGTCAACACCGTCACCGGAATCACTTTCCCGTTCTTACTCCGATTCAATCCCATCTCCGCTATATCGTACGCGCTTAACATTGCTAACGCGCCGCCGAGACTATGCCCCGTCACGGTGATGCTTAAATCGGAGTCATCGTCGTCGCCGTATATTTCGACCAGACGCTTCACCTCCGTTAAAATCTGCTCACGCGCCGAGAATTTTGCGAATTTGCAGGTTGTGTCTTTGTCTGTGTAGAGATCTAAGAATCCGGATTCGACTTTAACGGCCGGGTCGGGGCACCGGATATTATTACCGGATACTGGTTTTAAATAATCCTTTAGATCCGCGATCCACTCGAGTTTCGTGACAGTTCCTCTCCACGCAATCGCGATATCACGGCGACCAAGGCGGTTACGAGACGTTTCGTCGTCGGAGACAGCGACGTATCCCATCCAATTAGCGTTTTTGCTCCAAACTTTAGACCACCGCGATTTCGAGAAGAAGTTCGGGAGATTGATATTCGACGTCGCGTAGAGATAACGCGCCACCTCGTAACCGGAATCGATCATTCCGAGAGAATCGAAGAAGTCGAGACGCGAGAATCTTGAGGTGCCGCAGTATTTGGAAGCGGGATCGAAATCGAAAGCGTCGTAACAAGCTTGAGCCATTTCGCCGTAACGGATTAGCTCCGATCTAAGAATTGGATCCATTGGATCAATTAACCCGGCCCAATCGTCTTCTCCTTGGATCTTACGCCACGTGTCTCTTAGTCTTCTCTCTTCTTCGGTTTTTTTATCTCGCCGGCGAATATCCTCCGCCGTCAACCACCGTTCTCCAACCCCTTCGGCTTCGTCGATTAAACCTTGTCTTTCCCGCCTTTCCCGCTCGAGACGAGAAATCACGGCGGATAGAGAAGACTCGTCGGTTCTGGACAAAGCTCTCGTAGCTACTTGGAATTTGGCGGGAAAATTGATTTCTGAAAATTTGGTATTAACCGAAGAAGAGTGGTGACCGGTTATGGAGTTTTTGTGGTTGATGGTAAGAAGGTTGTTGTGGGAAGGAACAGTCGCCATTGTTGAGAAGCTTCAAAAGCTTGATTTCGAAAATGGTAGAACAAGACTTAATTTATGTTCACATAAAATATCTAAATCGTGTTCTTCTTATATACGAAGAATGATAACATGTAATAAAGAAATTGTCCTTGATTACATACACACTTGATATTTATTTATTTATAATGATAAGTTATGATCAATTGATACTTACCAAAAAAAAAAGTTATGATTAATTGATCATATATAGCTGAATTAAAGTAATAATAGTTTTTTTTTTGGGAGTTTTGAAGTGTATTGCACAATGATTAGAGGCAATAAACAGGCTCTAGTGATTGTCTGATTAAGGAATGAGGATAAGGATCTAGTTATCTATTATGGTTATAGAAAAAAGTAGTATAAACTAATTTTATAGGTTTTTGCTTTCAACAAAAATGTACATTTTATTGCGTGAATCGTGATCAACTACTTATAACAAAGTCAGATTTATTTAGCTAGATATTTAATAAGAACATTACAAAATGGTTTTTTTTAGTTGAAGTCATAATTAAATTTGGACCACACTTATTAATGTTTTGAAAGTAATATGATTTTTTTATATAAAAAAAAAGCTCCTAGTTAAAGTGTATTTGATATTTATTTTTCAATTTTTTCAAGTCTTGATTAAAGCATATAAAGTTATGGTTGATAATGTTCTAATTAACTAAGAGTAGTTCATTGTTTTTTGAGTTAAAAGTCTAGATCTAAAACAAAAACTAAGTCGTATTTTATGTTTCTATATTAGTTAATTAAGAGGATTTTTTCATATTAAGTTGATTAGGAAAAAAATTTATCTTTGTTTGTGCTTTTTCTTAGTGAAAAAGACTACAACATTGTTTAATCTTCACTTCAAATAACATAGCGACGACTTTTACATTGTTTTATTTATATAATTAGTACTATTTTATAATCAAAACCACCGGTAAGTGACAAGAGAATTGCTCAACTTGCCGTCAAAAAGAAAAAAGAATGACTCAACTCATATAATAAGAGAATGCTTTGGCCTTCGTGGAAAAGTCATGGACCAATAGCATTATGGCAAGACATTACAAATTGAATAACATCAATTTTCAAGTTACATTTTTGTATAACATATTACAAATGTACAATATATATAACCCAAAGTCTAATGTGAATTTGCTGTCAAAGAAAAAAAAAACTCTAATGTGAATTTATTTATATCTAGATGCTTCTTAATAGTTAAATTATAAGATTGTTGAAATATTAAAGACGTTTTTAATGGTCTTTATAAATGACCTAAAATTGCATACCAATAATTTGACCCCGACCACATACAAAACGACAGCTCAGTCTCTCGTCACATTCTGGAATGAGAATGAGGTGTCCTTCCCTCGTCACTACTTACTTTATGTTTCATCATAAAATATTTGGACATGTGATTTAATGAATTAATTTAGTAATTAACTACATGGAGAAAAAAATCGCCTGGGAAGATACAAGTCAATTTGTATTTGTTGGTGGTTCATCTGAGGATCCAAAATACTTCTCAAATTTGTAAATCATTTATTTAATTTTGATACCTTACGGATTTTTGTAATCTGGTAGACTGGTACAGATCAGAATGAATGGATTCATACTGTCATTTTTTTTATATAGAATAGAAAATATATTTTATATATGAATGTTGTATATACTATATAGAATCGAGTTCATGCTTTTGTGGGGATTTTGTATGGTGACATCCTAACTCACACATATTTTATATTAATTTATAGTTAAGTTTCCTATATCATTAAAAATAAGTCCAAAATTGACCCATTCGTTTTTGTTAGAAATAATTTGTGTGTAAGACTTATTAAACATATGAGATTTGTATAAGTCATTGGTACGTATGTCAATAGCTAGGAGGTTGCACGTTCATTTTTCTTCTCCGTTTGGTCATAGTCGAGAGTCTCGAGACAATGCATACCCATTTCTTTAGAACATTTCCGAATGTGAATTTTCTAAATATTTCAATTCTTGTTTATGTTATGAAATTCAACATATATATATACTGTTTTATTTTCTTAAGAGCTAAACAACACCTTTGTAAAGTGCTTAAAAGCTTATTAGCTGTCGAAACATAAATACATAAATTTGGCTTCAGAAAGAAAGAGTAACTATGATCATGGCCTTATAAGGTAGTAATTAGTGTCACCATAATTTATTTGAGTTCAAATCCGAAATTATGTGTGAGAAAAAAAAAACAAATAAGATATATAACGACTTAAAAAGTAAGGAGTAAGAACAAAGAAATGTGAAAGGAGAAGAGACATTTATAGATGTTTACCGTATGATCCATCGTGAATGACCACATAACCTCACCTACTCTGCCTTTTTCAATCATTAATGATAGAGGAAATAAGGGGGTGTTATTGGTTTTTTATTTACATAAAATTTTGATGATTTTAATAAAATTATAGAAAATAAACAAATGAAATATTCTAAACTATTGCTAGAGAGTTTTCGAGAGTTTTCTATAATCTTGTTGATTAGTATTTCATATTCTTGTAAAGTTTCTCAAACAATCTCTCTATTTTGATGATATTTTTCATGACTTTATTTTATGAAGAAAAATGTAGAAAGTCATAAACCAATAACAAAATAATTTAATTGAATAACACAAAACTTTTAATGAATTTTATAAAAGTATGAATCCAATAACTCTAGAGTTAAAGATTTTAAATTACTTTTTACAAATCTTAAATTAATAACACCAAAACTTTTAAAAAATTTTGATTGAATAACAAGAGATTCTACACAACATTTGAATCACTAAAACTCAATTTAAATCACATACTAAGAAAACCCCCTAAGTAAAGCTTTTTCCAAACCCAAAACAAAATATTTATCTTAAGGGTAAGTTTCCGATCTTACGGGAAGCGCCTAGTGGTCGTAGGTGGAAGATCAGGAGAGTTAATAATGAATATTAACCACTCTTGTCTAACCCTTATTTTAATCCTAAATATCATATCTTACTTAATAAGAAGGTTACATGTTGCAATCCCCATCACCTTTTTCGGGTTAGACAAATTAGCAAGAACGAGATCCTACTTTGTCTTTGGACAAACCCCACCTTTTATGATAATATATATAAACTAAATTGACACAACGAAAATTCGCCCCAAAAAATGTCCAAAGACCTAAAAAGCCCAAACCTTTTGTAGCTGAAACAAAAACCCTAGCAGAATCATGTTTTTTTTTTTTTTTTTGCTAAGAATGTAAATATTTCATAAAAATGAAAACATATAAGGTTTACAATCAATGATTTTCAACCTAAACAAATGGTTTCATGGCAAAAAAAGATAAAAACATGGAAGCAAAAAATAATCACTATTTTCGGTCCATCCACTCGACCATAGCAAAGGATACTACGGGAGATAGATGAGGGTTACGTGGGTTTTTCTTAGCTTCCTTGACAAATGACAGTTAGTCTAGCCATGGAGGATGAGCAGGATGGAGTTAGGTACTTAAGTTTGGTTGAAAGATTATATATTTGGAATTCATACCTTCATCGATATAATTAAACATCAAAGTTACTAATGATGACAAAATATATATACCACTAGATGTTAACTGAGACATTCGAATGGCCATATTGATTAGAATCAAGAAGATGAATTCCAAATATATATTGAATTTGAAACTGTTATGTTTCATGGGTTTCTAACTCAAAATCTTATTTTTTCGAGATGATGATTTTTCTGGTCTATCTTCAATTGTGCTCATTCTAGGAATGACAACATGTCTTACTTGGGCCAAATAAGTTCCATACTTTTTAAACAAAATCATGTTGGCAATTAGTAAATTGGTTCATGTCCTATATATATATAGTAATTACTCTATGTATTTTACTTCTGACCTGGATGGGATTTCTAACATACTTCACTGGTCGAGTACTTTAGTCAAATAAGTCAAGTGGTAAATAGGAAAGAATCTCGGCAAATTGTTGAAAGGGAAGTGGCACACAAGAGAAACCGATAGTTTGTATATATTATTCCTTCATGATCAGAAGTGAGATTGAAAGAATCTCACAAAGACAATCATATCTTGTTGTATAGTGACATGTTTCAAGAATTGGGTTTTTAATTGTTTACACACACGTACGATCCGATCCATCAAACCCAGCCTGATCTCTTTTCCGTGGCTGCGAACAATACCGTCAATTCAGAGAAGAATAAGCATATCTCTCTGATTATTCCCCACCACTTTGGGCTATCTCACACCCACACCCTTCATCTGAGCATGTTTATTGAACAAAATAATATTCTTGGAGAGAAAAAGTAGAAGCTTGGTCCACTTAAAATGTAAGATTCTTTATCCTCATGCATAAGAAAGTTGCAAATACATATATAAACATGTGTGCGGATTTACCATATTCTCTAGCATCTGCAACAAAGAAACATATGGTCCTGTTCAAATCAAAATGCTCATCTTGGTATCTAGGAGGAAAAAAGGGTAGGTGAATTGTGATTATGCAACTTTTCTTAGTCCTTCCTTACTAATACTAATATAATATGAATTAAAGAAGAGAACAAAATATTAATAAAGTCACTTTAATGTACTTGGGGAACCTTTAGACGATCTCCTGTGATCTCTCTTTTTTTGGTCTCTAAGATTCTTTTATTTTTTCTTTGTTTGCCTATAAATAGCCTATGATTCAAGTAACTCAAGTCTCAGGCAACACCGAGCTTAATACTGTAGTATATACACACAACAAACAAAAACACTCTCTTTTCTTCTAATAGGAACCCCCAAAAGCGAGGTTTCTCATGCGTTTTCAGTTTTAAATATCTTTCAATCCACTAGGGAAGATTTTGTTTCTTCTACTCCAAGAAACAAGCCCTAGATTGATCGAGACTTCCTTCAAGAAACCATGGACAAAGTTGTGAGAATGTCGTCAGACAAAGGAGTGGTTATTTTCAGCAAGAGCTCGTGTTGCCTGTCCTATGCGGTCCAAGTCCTCTTCCAAGACCTCGGGGTTCACCCAACAGTCCATGAGATCGATAAAGACCCTGAATGTCGTGAGATCGAGAAAGCCCTGATGAGGCTCGGGTGTTCCACGCCGGTCCCAGCCATCTTTGTGGGTGGGAAGCTCATTGGTTCGACCAATGAAGTCATGTCGCTGCACCTTAGCGGCTCGTTGGTTCCGCTGGTTAAGCCATTTCAGGCCAATCTATGTTAAAAAGGTGTCCTAACTTTCTAAACTACAAAAATGAATTTCAATAAGAAGCACAATCCTATAGCCTATGCAACCTTTGTAATGTAGCATTTTAAAATATTGTTTGTTTTGTAATTTCAGATAATATCCAATAATAATTGACTAATTTCTACTACCACTATTAGCTTTCATGGTACTGTTTCAGGCGAATAATAGAACATTTTTTTTTATTAAATAATTAAGGGTAATAAATAACATTCACTGCTAATTCTTAAGACCCCCACCCCAAATAGAGAGTACAAAGTATATATATTTCTACAGATACAGAGCAATTACAGACAACGACTTGTCTTGTTGTCTGATTCACAACAAGAACATATGAGAGTAGTTGTTGTGTTTCATTTGGGCTCCAAGAAACTTGGATTTGGATTGTGAGAGTTATCTGATGAAGAAGACATTGCAGACACATTAATGGGATATACCTCCGTTACTTCTTCAGTCTTCTCATCAAAGTAGACCACATCTTGCATTGTAAGCTGGTGATATTCGACTACTCCTCTCAGATAGAGGTTTTCTCGGGTGTATATCGAGTTTTCATGAGCCAAACGAGCTTTCTCAGCTAGTAATGTTTCCAGTTGAAGTCGCACCTATAGAGGAGAAAACACACAACCAAAGATCAGAAATGTACATAAAGAATGTTAACATTAATGGCTTTGTAAAGAGAAAAGAATCGATACCAGATCATCGTCATCTGTCTGACTGTCGCCACTACGGTTCTCCCTCAGAACCTTATTTTCTTCTTCCAGCTGTGCGCATCGTTGCTTTGCAAAAGCCAGATCAGATTTCACCATCTTCAGCTCCCGAAGTAAAAGCTTCGCCTTAGCAGCCATGGCCATTGCAACCTGTTGAGATAAATTCACAGGAGGTTCAGTATTTATAGCTGGATTTTAATACTAAAAAACTCATTCAGTGAAGAGATAACAGCAGCGGAACTAAGCTGATATAATTTTGCTGCTGTGAACCAATAAATGATACAGAGCAGCCACCTTACGTCGCGAGATGCCTTCAGTTGAATTTCCAAATCTGCTTGTATCTCAGGATTCTGCGGGTTCCTTGTAAGACTTGGCTTTTTTTTAATCTTTTTACGGGTTTCTTGAATGATTCCTGCAGTACGGTTCTCCACAGCAGTAATACCCTCCTACGAAAATTTACAAACACAACAATCTCAGTCCTAACAATCTCAGTCCCAACAATCACACGAGAATGCATATGCCTATTTATACAAAACAAATGTGAGAACTCGCATAACCTAAAGCAAAAAGAAAACAGATATATGTCTCCTATAATGCCATATACGGGTGCATAAAGAGTAAGAAACTAACCTCAACAACAGTACCAATGGTGCCACCAATGTAATTCAACGATGAAGTAATCGCGTCTAACCTCTTCTGCAATGAAGGATTCTCGCTTTTCCTACCTGTCTGACCAGCTTCCTGAAACATGGAAATGAATTTCTACTCCATAAGAATGCTACCCCACAAGACAATTGGAAGAGCAAATGCAACTTTAAAAACCTAGTCTTTAACCTTAGTTCCCGAAGTCGTTGGAGAAGGTATGTTCTGCTCCGTTCTCTTAGGACTTTGAGGCAACTGATTAGGATCATCCTCATCCAAAAAAGCCTTAGCTTTACTAGCTAAACTTCCCCAAAAGCCTCGTTTTGGTTCATTCAAACTCTTCATAGAAGTATACTCATGAGCCTTATTCACCTCCTATTCAAACAATTCAATACCGGGACATTTCAATTGAAGCAAAAACAGAGTAAACCCATGAATCATTTAGAACAATTAAGCGACACCAGAAAGAGAGAAGAACAAAAGATGAAACCTTGGGAGGAGTGGGAACAGGAGCCGAAGAAGGAGACGAGTAAGCAGAAGAAAGAGAAGAGTCTCTATGTGCAGAAGATGCTCGAATCGCCTTCGCAGCGAGAGACGAAGCAGCGGATGATGAAGCCGAAGATGGAGACGGAGACGACGAAGATGAATAAGACATCCTCGTCGTCCTCGTCGTCGCCGGCATCATCCTTTCCTTATCTTTCTCCGTCTCCATTTCGAGATCTTCGAACCTGAAATCCTCAATTTCGTCGACTTTCTTCATCAACTTCTGACGCTCATGCTCAATCACAGTCTCCAAATTTGAGGGTCGATTTAGGGTTTTCGAAAAGAGAATCCTTTGGAATTGGATGGATCTCTCTGCCTCGCAAATGATGCCAATTTTTCAATTTTTGGTGTCGTCAACGCTAGACAGGTGCTCTCTCAAGATTCCGGTTATCCTTGGTTTTCTACAAATGTGTTAAACCGGTTTTCTTCTCCTATAATAGGACTTGATTATACCATTCAAAAATTCAAACATGCTCGTGTATTCATGACCTCATTAAGATCTACATTCTCACTACCTACTAGGGAATGTGGTGATGGAATATTCTGGTTTGATTGATACAGTTTGCCACTTTGGTTTGATATTTTGTTAGCGTGGCGGTTTGGTTTGGTTTGTAAGATTGACGGTTTGTAGAGTGATGGTTTGGTTTGGTCATGTCGTCTGGTATATACCAATTTGATGCTAACTGTCAAATACAACCAACAGAATTTTGTCCACACAAGAAACAATCTACAACAAACAAACAAAAATCTAGTACATTGGAGTCAAAATCTTTGTTAAAAGACTGAAGATCATGAAACCAGGCTTAGCAAGAGAAGATTTTATTGATTTTTGGAGTAAGAACGGATGAATTGGGCTTTTAAAATTGTGGTTGCTTTTTCAGCGATATTAAATTTTTTCGACGGATTTATGTGTGAAATCTGATACCAACATATGTGTAACATAAAAAGAAAAATACATGCAAAGCAACTTGTTTCCTTCTTTATCCCAATGTATCCCAAAATCAAACCAAATAAACAATGTGTCTACTATGCAATCCTCGCATCATTAAATTTGAAACTTCATCTTAACTTGCAATGAATCCTCTTATTGCTCTTTTAATTGAAACAAAACTCTCCCTTTTTGACTTGAGAATTCGACATAAATGTTTGTGTGCATGTGTTGTTGGGCTTATTGGTTGTGAAACAAATGGGCTCTGCAATAACAAGTTATGTTTCTCGATCAAGCTAAGCAAGATCTTTAGCTCGTTTGTTGATTGTTTCTTTTCTTGGCCAATTCCATCAAGCTATATTTCTTCTAGTCACGGTTTCGTACCGTTGACTCTATCCGAATCCATGCAACCTCCCCAACCATATATAACAGATAAGAGATTTGCACAAATGACAGCGAAATGGGATAAACTCGTATGGCGTTTCCTAAGAAGACGACATTAGTGTGTGAATTGGAAGAAGCGTGATTAGGGAAAACTTGACGTCGACTTTTTGGGCTATTGACAAATAACCAACTTTGGCCCAAACTGTTCGTATTTGTGGTTCGTTTTGTTTTCTAGTTGCATCTTTTCTTAGCCTTTGTCCCCTCGTTTAGCCGCTGTGAGGTCGGGACCGTTGTTAATTATTACACATCCCCACCCACAATTTTATGATGCTAAATTATCACTTTCATGAATCTGATCTATAATTTTCTCCAATCCGTTTTGTGAATTCGGATATTTAGAAATTGCATATCTATAATCAGAAAATAACATTTTGGTTCTAGTTAACGAATTAACCCAAAATAAACCACAATCCGATATGTCAATCCTCTAGATGTAACCATTGATTGAAACTAGACGGCAATACAGCTCAGGGGCATTTGTACTTTTGTTTATAGATTGATAGCACCATCCACTTATGGTCCAACCTATTTCCAAATGAATGTTTCATTTGAAAAATTTAGACTTTGTATTAAGACCTTGCCTTAGCACCTTTTTATAAAATTTAATAATTATTCTCTCTGAATTAATGAAATCTATGTCTATTGCCTACTCATGATCTAGTCGACAAACTATATATGGTGTTCAATGTTCATAACTTATATATATACTATATTTGAATGCAAATTACCATATATATATATATATATATATATATATATATATATGTGTGTTGTTTGTTTGTTTGTTTAACTAATTCAACATTTTACATTCGATATTGTGTTTGGATGCAAAACCAATTACGTAAAAGAAATCTAGAGTTTGGAAGTTTTGCATTTAAATTTAACATAAAGTTAAAAACACCCTTCACAAACTGGAAAAACACCCTTTAAATTTAACATATAGTTTTGCATTATGATACTAAATAATTTTCTTATCGAATCACATGTCAGTATGTCAGCCGGAAAAAAAGACTCACATGACATATTATCACATAGATTCACAAACTTACACTGAAATAGAAAAAAAAAATCACGAAAACTGGTAAGGATTTTTAACTTTTTATGAAGACCCATTATGAATCTTCACATTCAAACTACAAAATACAAATAGTCTAAAAAACTAGTCGCCACCGGCAGAAAATTATTAGGGCAACTAGGCAATGTAAGAGACGTGAGATATCTTTAAAGACGATAGGAACACGTGTATAACAATGATTGGAAGACAAAACTGAAACTGGATTCTGATGGATGATTTGACGACGTAGCTAAGCCAAACACCACGAGGTTCTACGATGAAGCACGACCACATATTTGTGGTGGGCCTTATCTATGACATGTTCCTACTTCCCTAACTTTCATGGTCCTACTTCTCTCTAATCGTACATCCACTTTTAATTTCGTTTCTTATCTGTCAATTATTCACATGCTTTGCTTTTTTTTCTATATTCATCTCATTGTCTTCTTTAATTCAGAATTTTTAGGCTTTACATATTAAGCTAAGCAAGATTTTCATGTTCGTCACACATTACTATAATCATTGTTACTCTCCATGTTTTTTTGTTGTCTTTTTTTTTTCTTACCATGAATATCACTGTAACATTTACTAAAACCATAGTTGAATATTTGAATGTAGTTAAAGACAACATTAAGTTTGAAGATTAATGATTTATGTAGATATACTATTTACGACAAAATGTATGTGGATTTACAAATCTTTCAAAATAAATTTTGCTAGTAACCACTTCTAAAAACTAAACAAGTTCTAAAAATTTATATATATGTATATATAATTCCTTGCAAAAAAATAGTATAGTAAACAAATCTAGT